CTCTGCCTATTTATCTCCAGCTCCCACCCCACCCCAGCAATCACCTGGCTTTGATTATCTCAGTAAGAGCAATTGCACTTCCTGGATTGCCCCTACAGCAGTCTTTAGGAGTAGCCTCTGGCGCTCAGCGTGATGGTGCCCACGGCCACCAGGCCTGTGCGTCCAACAGTGGGCCCCTGCTTAGGCAAGGGATGCGCTCTTCAGCTGATGAAACTAGGCTTCGTCGTTAGAAATAATGGACTTACTGACTGTAAAGGGGGCAGAGGAGTGTAATACATTAAGTAAATAAAACCTGGTTACTAAACACTAGGTACAGTATGAACATTTCTTTATCAGTACATTCCATGCTGTAAACAGTGCTAGTCTCTGAGTGTTGGGCTGAAGAGCAATCTGTTTGAAAATGTTCATCCTTTTTGATTACTAGCATTTTCTAATTTTTTCATCATAAATATGTATCACTTTTGTAATAAGGAAAATAATAGAAGCTATTTGTTAAAAATTCATGATGCTTATCTATGGGTGATACTGAGGTTATCAAGGGTTTTTATTTTCTTACATTTGTTTGAATCTAATATAGAATTGCTGTTTCTGTAGGTGAAAAAGTTAAATGTGGATACTTACATGTGATTCGACCTAGTACTTTGAATATTTAAAAAATACTCTATAGAGATTATGCCACTTGTTCACTTAAATTCTTCAAAGTGCTCCTGTTGGGGAATTTAAAAGTGTGACTCTCATACAAATCTGAAAGGAGTGCGTGTCCAAGATTTTCTTTAGCTCACTAATTAATGAAGCAACAAGATATCCCAACAGATTCAATGGAGAATTAAAAATACACAGATATATATATATATATATATATACTATCATGAATGTTGAAAAATTTACAAACATGCAAAACTGGCCAATATCTGAAGGGCAAAAATCAATTGTATCTTCACCAAAGTTCTAGAATCATTTATACTACTACCAGATTCTTACAACTTTGTGTTAGTCAGTGTTCTCTGGAAACAGAACCAATGGGATGCACACACACATTTATTTATTACAAGAAATTGGTTCATGCAATTACAGAGGCTGAGAAGGCCCATGATCTGCTCTCTGTAAGCTGGAAGCCCAGAAGAGCTGGCTGTGCAGTTCCAGTCCAAGTCTGTGGCGCTGAGAACTGAGGACCTGGGGTGTGAGTCCCAGTCTGAGTCCAAAGGCCTGAGAACTTGGAACACCAGTGTCTGAGGACAGGAGAAGATGGATGTTCTAGCCAAAACAGTCTGGCAGAGAGGGAAAAAATTTATTCTTTCTCCATCCACCTTTTTGTTCTATTTAGACCCTCAGCTGATTGGATGAGGCCCACCTCATGGGGGAGGACAGTCTGCTTCACTGGTCTACAAATTCAGATGCCAACATCTTCTGGAGACACACTCACAGACACACCCGGAAATAATGTTTAACCCGATATCTGAGCATCCCATTGATGCTGGGGTTCTTGTTTGCGGAGTTGAAGTATGAACTTAGCAAGCACCCAAGGAAGGAGAGCCAGGGCAGAGGCTTTTATTTAAAAATAAAGTGAGAGGAAAGAGCTCCTGGCTCACGCCAGGAGGGGACACGAGAGCCTGGGGTGGTGTATTGTCTAGGGGATTTATAGGCAGTTGAGGACTTTTGGGAACTGAGGGCTTAGGGTGTGGACTTGTACCACCTGCCCTGCCCTCAGGGTGGGCTGGGTTGTTGTGTTTCCAGGGCTGTTTGCAGTGAAGTCACGGGTTCTGCTGAGATACCCTTGCGGAACACTCAAACATTCCAGGCTAAGTTGCTCCTGGCCTTTTGACCTTTAACTGATCTCACTGAAAATCTCTATATTCCTAGTCTGGTATCTTTCCCTAGAGAATTAGTGTGGCCTTGACTTTGCATAATGCTGAACACAGAGTTCCGATAGGGACTTTACATTGTTACATTGCTCTGACTGTAAATATCTTGCCTTGCTTTTCCCGGAGGCCCTCACCCTGCTCTGATCTAAGCCCACGGTCCCTGTTTCACCATGGCACAGACAAGGGGACATATAAAATTAACCATCACAAAGTTAGAGTTGTCAGCTCAGTAACAGCTCAAGTCCTATTAAATCAGATAATCCCAAAGTCTTCTTTGCCCATTTCAAAGTTTTTCACTGCTTTTCCTAAAATTCCTTTTTATATACTGAACTGTTTATGTAACTCTTGGTTTGGATCCTGCCTCCCCTTATCTAGGCCCATCTAAGGCCCCCCAAATCCCCCACTTCTTCACATTCAGGTCCCACAAGCCTATTTAATTTTCTCACACATACCAGGCCTCCTGCTACCCACCCTGTTGCCTGGACACATATTGCTCCCTCTCTTCCCTCCGGGTGGTCCTCCTGGAGCGCCACCTTCCTACCCAACTAACTCCTAACATGCCTGCCTTCCCTCTGAGCTCAAACTCAGCTTCCTCAGGGAGTGGTCCCCTCAAGCCCCTGCAGCTTTATCAAAGCCCTCTTCAGAGTCTGTGATATAACGAGTTACAAGAAATAGATATTTGGTCATTCAGATGACCAAAATATATTTCTCAGGTAGATTTGGTCTTCATCCACAGTTTTGGAAAATGCTTCAGAGCCACAAAGGTAAATGGGTGTCTTGCTATGTTAATGGAGTCTCTTGGACCCCACCCAAGGGTTGGGCTTCTTGTTAGGGGGACCAATCCTGTGATTAGAGGGTGGCAACTCCCAGTCCTCAGCCCTCAAGCCCCAGGAGGGGAGAGGGCAGAGGGCAGAGGGCAGAGGGCTGAAGGCTGATTCAGCCAATGGCCAAGGATTTAGTCAATCATGATTATGCAAGGACGTCCTCCCAAAAACCTGTGAGAAGAGCACTTTGATCTCTCTTCTGCACCCTGCTTCTCTGTCAGAGAGGATCCGCATGCCACCCAGCCTGGAGCCAACGAGGTTAGAAGCTCCTTTCTTTGGGACTTTGCCCTGTGTATCTCTTCATCTGGCTGTTGACTTGTATCATTTACAGTGTCCTTTATTAAACTGGTGAACGTAAGTGTCTTCCTGAGCTCTGTGAGCCACTGTAGCAAATTCACCGAACGTAAGGGGGAGGCTGTTGGAACCTCCAAATCTGTAGCCTGTTGGTCAGAAGCACAGGGAACAGCCTTTGGCTTGCAATTTGCATCCGAAGTAGGGAGTAGAGGGAAGCCTTATGGGATGGAGTCCTTAACCTGGGGATCTGGTGCTGTCTCCCAGCAGAGAGATCGGAATTGAGTTACGTTTCACACACCTGCTGGTGTTGGAAACTACTTGGTATTATGTGTGGAAGCCTTCTCAGCCCTGCCTTCCCCTAACTCACACACAGTGCAGCTGGGTCCTGAAACTGAAGGGAGAGCTTTTACCACAATTTGAATTACAGCATGAATATGGTTTATGTAGATTTGAACTTTACGATTTTAAAATAGCATAGGCTAAAAACATTAGTAAATTCTCTCTTTATGTTTGAACTTTGAAATAATACAAACTTCCCAAATAAAAAATGAAAAAAATGAAAAAAAAAAACCCAACCCAAACAGTCCCTTTGGACCATACAGCTTCAGAGCTGCTCTTGTAATGACTGGTGTTTCCACTCTTGCCCTGGAGGGGCTGCTCCATAACTGGTAGACAGGGGCACCCAGGGCCCAGGCCAGCAGCTGCACTTTTATGGCACTTCTGAGAATGGTGTTACTGTTACATACGCATTTTGGTATGACACTGGTAGGAAATCAGAATGAGCCATCCCCAAATATGCCATTTTGCAGAGGATTGTTTTAAGCTTATTGATAAAAGCAGATACCAAAGATTATTGATAAAAGACACCCTCTGCCCTTCCCTCTTGTGCCAGAAAGGACAAATGATCTTAATGCCTGTGGAATTTAATCAGATTTCATGTAACAAACCTTACCAAACAGCCCTTATCTTCCACTAGTCTGCCCATGTATTTACGTTCCCACAGAGTTGCAGCCCTTAAGGCCTACATTCCTTTTCCTTTGTTTTGTCACTTCTCTCCAGATGTATTGTCTTGTTAAGACCCCTTTGCATTACTCAGCACCAAGTTTCTCCCATGTGTATGTGTGTGGCATGGGTTGACCTGTTCTTTTTAATCTCTTGCTATTCTCTTGTTAATCTGTCATCTGTCAGTTTAATTTTCAAGCCCCAAACACAAAAAAGTGTTTTTTTCCTTCCTACACATTCACTGTTATTATAACTTAAACCTTTCTAGGAGCTCTAATAAAATATTCCAGTAACCGAGCTGGGCTGGGGCTTGGGCTGGGAATTTTGGTTGATACTGCGCTTTGTAGCCAAGTCCTCATGACTTATGATGTTCTAAACATTAGGACTGAAGCTGAGAATACAAGATATATTTTGGCCTTCTGGGACACTCATGGATAAGATGTTATGACCCTGTGTATATTTGTGAAGTTATGTGACTCATATATTGACTCCCTGTGTCTATGTGTTTTGCTTACCATTTTTATGACCATCTTCTAGCACAGTGTCATAAGGGAGAGAACAACACTTTTTCTCTATGCTCTTATGTGAAGTCTCTGGGGCCTGTGAATTAAACTGACAAAAGACAGATTAACAGGAGTATAGGTTTATTCTGTATGTATATGGGAAACCAACAAAGGAAGTAGCAGTTTCACTAAATGGTCAGAGTTAATTGGTTATATACTGTATTTAGTAGAGGAAAGGTAAATGGGGAGAAAAGGCTTATAATGGAAAGAACAACTAGTTTTTTTTAGGAAGGACAAATAGATTTTTAGAAGAACAGGTAGGAGATAAGAAAGCTTTGGCAATGTTTGTCTTTGCAGGTATGAGTGGTGTTTCCATCTTATCCAAGGTCATACAGTCCCTGGCGAAGGGATGCGGAATAGGTTTTATTGATTTCTCCCTTCTGGGAGTAGATCCACCCTGGAGAAGAATTTATGGCAGCCGTATTTCCCAGAAGTCGCTGCTTTTAGTTAGAAAAGGGAAGCTCTGAGAAGGCCTTTTTTAGACCTACTAAATCTCAAACGTCTTTACTTCAAAATAATCTTTATGCCAAAATGGCATATTTTGGGGTGGCATATTCTGATCCCCTCCAGCTGTAAGGAGCAACATTCCCCTCTACTTATTTGCCTTAGGGTCTTCCTTTAAGTATATGTTCCACACCTTCTGTTGATGCGTCTTCTGTGCAGACATTCTAGATGCCGAGTCCCCTGACACGATGAAAATGTAGCAGGAGACAAGCCCTGTATTCAGAAAGGACCATAAGAGCATAGTTCAACATGGTGCTGCGCATCAGGACTTGGGGAGATGGTCTTTTCCAGAAATTGCCACAGTGCTCTGAGGAGCCAGTTCCTGTTTACTGCTGAGGAGCTGGACGTGGGTGCTCAGCTGTTCTGCAAATGCCCACAGGAAGCTCACTTCACTCCGAAAGGTGGCCACATTCTGGAGGACTTCCCCAGTAGGACTTTTTTCTTTCACGAAAGAACCTGTTCTTGGGGATGTGGAGGTGCCTGGTTGGAGAAGGAACTGGCTTCACCTGCTCCTGGGCCAGAAGCCAGAAGGAGGCAAGGTTGGCCAGGCTGACCTCTACGCTGCGGCAGGCAGGGCCTGCCAGCCTCCAGCTGGTGGAAGCGGATGACCGGGCCGGCCGGCTCTGCAGGCCTTGAGAAAGGCTCTGAGGAGGATTGGAGGCTGGAGGCAGAGCAGCAGACCAGTGTTGGCCCTGAGGCCCCAGGCGGCATTCTCAGCTCTCACCTAGACTTCCCGAGCTGTGCTTTGGGGCCTGGCTAATGATTAACAGGAACTATGTTGCTCTGAGGTGCTCAAAGCTTCCGGGAGTGAGGGGCCTGTGGCAGGTGGAGGCCACCTCTGTATGTACGGCCCAGCCTGTGATGTGACAGAACCACTTGGTGAGGGACAGACTTCCTGTCACCTGGTGAGGGCGGATCAGAATTCTCCGGTGGCTGCACAGGTTTGTTCCTGCGTTTGTGCGGAGACAGGACAGAGGCCAAGAAGACTCCTGGGAACACCGACCCTTCCCTGGAGCCCTGCAGAGGCCGAGCTGCCGAGGTAGGAAAGCTGCAGGGAGTGACTCCCCAGGGGCTCATCTGGGCCTTCCTCCCCTGGGCCCAGGGCCCCAGCTAAGAAGCAGGTCGCCAAGCCCGTGTAGGAACCTGTTGAACAGACACATATTCTTTTGTTTTCAGTTTCCACAAAGTTAAAGTTTAAAGGAGCAGCTGTTCTGACAGTTTGGGACCTGGAGATGATTTCTAATCAAGTGACTGCCCCTTTCACAGTGGCCTGTTCTCAGGGATGAGCTGAAAGCCGACACTTGGCTGGAATTCGGGAGGTCAGGATTAAAGTGCTGGAAAATCACTGTGGCCCATGTTGTTCGTTTGATGAACTTTAAATGTCATTTGCTCTCCCCGGCTGAGGAGGCCTGTGGAAGGGAGGAGGGCTCTGATGTCCCGAGGTCCTGAGGCTGCCCCGAGTCAGTAGGCAGTAGGCAGCGCCAGGGCCCCTCTGGGGTCGGCGCCCCGGGGCCGGGTGGAGCCCTTGTGCAGAAGCCTGGGTGCCTTGATGTTATCACGCTGAGGTTTACAGTGAGCCCCTTGCTCTCCTTGCAGCTGATGTTCCCTGGCCCTGAGGGGTACTGGCCCTTCTTTCCTTTGAGGTCTAGGCCTTGTGCTGCTGCCCGAAACAAGATATTTGCGGACACCTTTGGATTTTATGGTGTTGGGTTATTTCCAAGAATCCAGAAATAAGGGTGTGCTTATCCTGGGTGTGTGTGTGTGTGTATAATTAAGTGCTATTATCAAATTCAGCAGTTTTCTTCCTGGGATGACTAGCTGAGTGGGTCTACATAGATCTGAGTGTTTTTGCCTTGTCAGGAGGAAGGAATCAGTTGGCTTTTAAGTCCTATGTGTTTAATACAATTTAATAAGATTTAAGATTTGAAGAAGACTGGGGGATTTTGAACTCAAAGTAGGTAATTCAAGTCTTCCATAATGTCATGTATAACTATCAGGATCTACCAAAGTATTCCGTAAAGACATGAATGCACAAATTCTCTGGGTCCTCATTTAATTGAAGTGACCTGTCTGATTTCAGTTAAAGCTTGACAGCTCCTTCCAGCACACACCCTTCAAAGACCACCATCCCCTTACAAACCCAAGTCTGTGGTCAGCTTTCAGCTGGGTTCCTGTAGCTCTCAGGGTGTTCCGGGGGGTTCTGCCGGCCTCCTTGGAAATGGCATCATCCTCTCAAGCAGAGTAATCGAGAACGGTGTGCGTGGACGGTGGCAGAACAGAGCATTTAACAACGCGAGCAGTGTGGCCTCTGTCCGCGGCCTGACCCAACTTGGTCATCAGGGATAGAGGACTTCCTCGTGGGCCTCCAGCTCTTGCTGCAGCCTTGGTAATGCTGGGTCCAACTTTGTATTTGTTGCTTTTGATAAAATGAGTAACTTTTTGTAATTTGTGGGCTCCATTTCTCCTTCATCCTCGGCTGGGGTCCAGGGTTCTAGGTGACTGGTAGAGTGAGGGACTTGTCGGCTGTGTTCACTGAGCCCTGAACATTAGTAAATGATTTATTGGATGCTTTGATGGTTCATAATTTGGGATCTGGAATCAGTCTTGGAAGGCTGTGATGTCAGTTCAGTTTGTGTACAGCTGCTACTTATAACTTACTGGTAAGGCATATTTTTAGGGACCTGTGGAGTCTTATTTCCAGTTATTCCAAGAGGCAGGGTTTCACGTCCAGGTGGTACCACAGCACAGTTACCTGGGTCTCACATTGTGTGAGTGGCTGTAGTTTATTACACATGCTGAATTTTGCTTTCCATAGACACGATAGACACAGAGAGATGGAGACCCCATGTTCTTCTCATGAGCTGTGTGTACCCAGCAACCCAGTGGGGGTTTCAGGCCTGAGCACCTCTGCGATCCTTCACGCCATCACTCTGTTTTGTTCAGCAGCTTGTATGGGGCTTGTTCTGCAGCCTGAGGGGTGGCAGTTATTTATCTGTGCCTGGTTCAGTTCTTGTATTTCTGCCTGTGGGTTGACATGTTGTGAGGGCTGCTTCCTTCGGCCTGTAAGAGAAAAAGGAGGCCAGAGCCCTGGGTGGGCATGTCTGCTCATTACAAAAGCCAGTACAGGGTCTTTGGTGGAAACTGGCACCCCACATCTGGAGCGATGGGGTGGACCCCCCCAGCAGGGCTGGGATCTGTGCAGATGCCAAAGCCAAAGTGAGGACCGAGGTCAGGTCACTGAGCTCCGCAGATTGATGGTGCTGAAGAGTGTTTGAAACAAAGAGACCCTTTCCTGAGACTGAGGAGTGGACCATTCGTGATGCAGTCAGTGGTGATCTGTCCCTAAGTGCTCCAGGGGAACCAAGCAGTGTTGGTGACCTCAAGGGGTGGCCTGGGGCAGGGAAGAAGGAAAACTAACCAGGATAGAGAGTGAGCGAGATGGTTATCAAAGAAACAAGGGATTGGGAGGAAGGGCCAAGGGCTGTAGGGTCCCCATGTGATGCCAAAGGCCAGCCAGGCCTTACTTAGTCCACCCTGACCTTCCTGCCTCTGACCTCTGCCCCTTCCACTCACCCTCACTCTGACTCACCCAGCTCTTTAGTTTCTCAAATATGCCAGGCATGGCTCCGCCTCAGGGCCTTTGCACCTGCTGTTCTTCTGCCTGGAAAGCTCTTTGTCCAAGATCTACATGGCTGTCACCTCCCTGTCTTCACTGTTCATTGAGCACCTTTTAGGGGAGCTTTTCTCCAACCTTCCTATTTGAATCAATAGCTAGCCCACCCCATGCACATAGCTAGCCCACCCTTCCCCACGTGCTCCCCTTATCTATTTCTCTCCATATCTCTTGCCACTTTCTGATAAGCTTACCATCCATTTCTTCATTTCCCCCTTGATAATGTAAACTTGTCATGTGAATGATTTTTTCCCTTCAGTGACTAAAGCATCATGGCTGACATGACTAGCAGAAAGCCCTCGCTCCTGCTCGTTAGCCCACCATCCCGCAAGATGGGATACCATTTGCATCTTGTAATGTGTACATGGGCTTGGGCATCAGATCACTTAATACATAATTCTCTAAGTTGAGCACGTACCAGAACTGGTACACTGTTTGATTGTGTAGACAGGTTTTTGGTCTCGTCCTGGATTTTTCTGATCCAGTGGGTCTGGGGTGGGCTCAAGAGTTTACTTGTCTAACAAGATCCCAGGCGGGGCTGGTGCCAAGCACACTGAGAAGTGCTGGCTAATGTGCCCACAGATACATAGGCACTGGCAGGGGCTCTGGGTGCCTCTGGGTGGTAGACGCTCGTCAGTGATGGACTGTTTGCTCCCTGCTGTTTCTCCAGGGCGAGGAAGACCATGAGGAGATGGAGGGCAGCTGGAAGGGCATCCTGGCTGTGCTGGTCGTCCTGGCTGGGCTGGCAGGTAGGGATCGTGTGAGCTTGGTGGGATGTTGGGGCGCATCCACTCGGAGTGGGTGCAGGAAACCCAGAGGCCGCTGCGCAGTGGGCTGCCGGAAGCTTCCCCTCAGACCCTTCCCCCTGCAGCCCCTCCCACAGTGGGCGGCTCTTCTCTTCTTTGGGTCCATTTCCTGCTGTGCCCACTTAGCTCCAGGGGGGTCCTTCAGGTGGGTCTGGCCCCGCTGTCCTCTTCATCCAGGTTCTTGCTGGACTCGCGCATCACCTGTTCTCTGAAGCCTCCCTGACCCTGTGGCATTTGGGGTGATGATCTCAGTGGCTGTTTAATGGCAGAGGGAGGGCCTGTTGCATGTGACACTTCCATTCCTCCCAAGAGCTCCTGTTGTCCCAGAATTTCCCAGGTATCTGCTGGGGTGGACTCCGGGTATCCCAGGCCAGAGTCTCCCAACCAGGCTGTGCTTCCCAGGAGATGGCGCATGCAGGCCCGGGTCCTTAGGGCAGTGGGAGTTTGTACCCTGCTTTGGATTACATTGTGTCTAGATTTCATTGCTTCGGGCATGTTTGTCTTGTTTTCCCAACTAGGTCTTGGACTCCTCAGGGTTTCATCCTGGGTTAAATGCCAATTCTAAGGCATTGTTTTGTAGAATAATGTACATATAGAACAGTATACATAAAGGTGTTGCCTGAAGAATCTTTACAAACTGAACACCTTGTGTACCAACAAGGCCAAGAACATTCCACAAATGTCCCCTTCTAAGTCACTCCCCTCCCCCCGCCCTGAAGAGTGACTGCTATTCATATTTCTAACTGCATAGATATGCTCCATGTTTTGTTCTTTATACACATACGCAGTCTATTTCAGATGGCTTGTTAATGTTTTTTAATGTTTAAATGTTTAAAAACTCTGTCCATGACAAGCTCGCATTGCAAAGACATAGTAGAATAAAAAAGTGCAGGGATTATCAGAGTGTGTTATGTGCAACAAGGACTGTTTTGTAAATTTTGGTTTTGGGTAGGTTGACTCATAAGCCAAGGGGACCCGGCTGCGGTGGGAAATGTATTTGAGGGCAAAGGCGTTTGGAAGCCCATGCCTGAGTACCCAGGGCAAAGCATTCAGTCAGTGCTTGCTAAGCGTTTGTTTGTGGAGTGGAGAAGGTGACACCATCCTTGCTTGTGTGGAGCTTGGGGACTTGTGTGAGGCTAGCAATCCATGCTCAGCATTCATTTCAGGGTCATCTTCAACGTGGCTATTTCAGCCATGGTTGCAAAAATCTCTTCCAACAGCTCAGTGGGAAGCTGATGATCCATGGGTGTGTGGCTTTTCTGAGACCCTTTTCCTAAAGTTCCATTTTGAAGGAAGGGATGGCTTTGGTTGATGTTATTCCAGGAGGGGATGGTATTGTGGACTAATTCTCATGTCCCCGGGGAAGTGGGATCCATTGTAGAAGACTGAGCCCTAGGATGCTTCCTGTTGGGAAGTCTTGGGGGTAGAGACACCTTCCTTTGCAGACCTGGCTCTGAATAGTTGAGGTCAACCTTCATGTGCACATAAAGGGCTCCTGCCAGTGAACTTTGCCCTCTTTTACCTTGCCTCCTGTGTGATAGATTATATAGAACCCACTCTTCTTATTTATTTGCTCACTGAGGACCTGCTAAATGCCATTTAGTTGCAGGCACTGGGATGCAACCAGGCATAGTGTCTGCTAACAAAGAGTTTACTGCCTAAGGGGGAATTAGGTATCAAGTGATAAAATCTATAGAAAATTGAGGAGAAGAT